TTCCCTCAGGTCCCCCTTCCCTGTCCTCGCCGCGACACCCCAAAGTCCTCCGCCTCCGGGCGACCCTTACCCCCCCTCTGTTCTCACCTTTTGGCGGTTCGCTTTAACCTCCAACCCCCCCCCCCCCCCCCCTCCCGCTCCCCCCCTTGCCCCCTCAAGCGCTGTAGCTCGGGCCTAGCAGCGACCGATGTTAGCGCTGCGCAGCCGTCCCATCATGGCCCGACAGAGTAACCTCGTCCCGCCTTCGACGCCGGGCGCTAGCACCACAGCTTAACCCCATGACGTTAGTGCGACGCTGGCATCAGAAATGGACGCAAACAACGGCATTTCCTCCTCAGTCCGGGAAGCGAGCTTGACACGTCCGCTGACAACGGAGGCGATGACTGATCACCCACACCTCTCAGCCTCTTTTGACTCGACTGAACCCTAGACGTAGACGAGGGTTTACCAGGTACGGACCTCAGCACATCCCTCTGAAACCGAATTCGACCTCAGTACAAAAGTACGTACCAGATGGGCCCGATAAACATGGCAGAAATGAGCTTAGCAACCAATGAAAATATAGAATCAGCCCACAATACATTCACAACAAGAAACAGTACCGCAGGATACCTAATGACATCAGGCGTACCGGGGTATAGTGAGAATATCTAGGTGGATTACGTTAGAATAAGACAGGACTCCATGTACTGAGGATAGTGGCGACAGGTAGCGGCGCTATACCTGATATGAAGGCGGTATACGGCTTATGGGGCGCTTGCTTGTGCTGAGACTGAATTCGGTTTCAAAGGGATGGACTGAGTATGGACCACAGACATGCTGCTTTTCGCCTCGAACGCCAGGTCCAAGGGTCCCGCGGCATTGACCATGTGTTTCCGCGGTCAATGCTCATTCCGCTCCGTACTTAGCTACATAGGTAGCGAGCTTGTGGCTTGGAACCGCAAGTGAGTCGAGCCTGTACAATAGTGGCAAGCACACTAGACCTGCCGAGGAACAAATTCTGGTCATCGTGGACCGACGGTAGAAAAAAAAAATTGCCGAGGACCCTTCTGGCCCATACTCATCTCGCGGCATCGTCTCAACGCCGGGGACCTCCATCTCGCCAACAGTTGCCTCTGACCTCCCACCCCCACCCCCATGGCCCTCCCCACCTGGCCACGGCGGAGCAAAGGGCAGACGGTATTATCGGCGACACGACACGTCTACTATTGAATCAGCATTGCACCCAAAGACGAGAAAGCTCGCGCAATGAGGCCTTCCGCCAGGCCACCCGTCCGTTACACACACAGTAATGAGCAAAACCCTCCGAGTGACAGAGACATTTATCGTCAGCATTTGGAAAAGACAAATATGCGAGCCAGAGCTACAAGTCGCACCGCGTACCACATCCCATTGAGGTACCACGGCTCGTGAGACCCAATTGTGGCCCATTTGTTTGCTGCTTCTCCCCCCGCCCTCTTCCCCTCTCCATCTCCCCTCTCCATCTCTTCTGTCGCATTTGGCCTTCTCCTCCCCCCTCTTCACCCGCTTGAATTAATCTTTCCATGGGCGGAGAAGATCAGCTGTTCTTATTTGAATTCAGGTACTGTCGATGGCACCCTACCTTTGGCAGGTAAGGTCGGTATCGCAGGACCAAAACCACCCCCTTAGTCCAGCTCGCTTCATAGGTAGGTATGATGAAGTGAGACCCCCGCATGGCACGTTCATACCCTTATCAGCCCATGCGCATACCTTCTTCCTACCTTTGCTTCTTAGGTCCAGCTCGTGGAAGAAACGCCCCCTACTCCTATTAGCTTGTCAGTTGGCGTTCGCGAACACGTCTCTACCATAGCTTAGTCCCCCTTGAAGCTTCCAAGCCACCCCTCATCCCAGCTTCTGGCTGGCCCTCTGGCCCTCTGGCCCGGCCCCTGCCCCCTGTCTCTGTTTCTCCACATTGGCGCTACTTGGCTTCGCGGATCTACCCCCCCTCCCCCTTCCTCACCTTCTCACCAAGTAGCAAGGTAAGTAGGTACTACGAGTACTGCGCTTGCCTAGGTACTTACTGTACCTTCCGTACAGTACCTTCCGTAGAGTACCTTCCGTACAGTACCTTCCGCAGGTACTCTTCTTGCCCACCAATGCTTGTGCGACCCTGGGACCCCTGCACCATCCGTCACCCACAGACCCGTCACTTTCACTGGCGCCTTCCAGGCCTTATTTGGTTCAGTGCCTGTCCACTTTCTCCCGTCGCCGCCCCCAACGTCCATCTCTCCCACCACTGCTGTCCGCGTTTCCCCTCCGAAATCTCACACCGCGGTCTCTGTCTTATCGACTGGCTACATCAGCCTCTGAGTTTGACCATAGCCTCGAGTGCGCTGGGCAATACCAGGAGGAGAGAGAAGAACACCACGATATCACTGCTTCGATCCGGATAGTCCAGCATACGTCTTGTCACTGCTATACCGCTACCTCGGCTCTTCCCTGCTCGTCTCTCAAGCGACATCCTCGAACACGGTGCGATCATTGCCACTGACTAACTGGCCCTATCGGCTCTGTGCTTGCTGGGATCTTCACACTGGGACTGGGGCCTGCACCAGAAACACCAAAGTCCCTAAGCCTCCGTCGGGCCCTTATCGATCGCACTAATTGTCATAGGATTTCTTTCCCTGGATTCGTTTGAATCCATGAAAGACCCAGGCACTAACGAAGCTCCCAAACACGGGAAGGCGGGGCCGGGGGCGTAAAGATTCACAGGTTCTCGAGCA